ATTTCGATTTTGATGATTTTTTACAGCTACATTCCTTGACCCTATATGAATACAATGAACCAATTTGATCGTCAATTTAAAAAATATATTTTCTACAAAAACACAATCCGAACTACAATAGTATATTTTTCTAACAAAATAATTATTTTATTTTATTTATTTTTGTATAGACTTTGCGAGACGAAGATTATTATTTCATCGCGCAAAGTCATCCAAATTTTTTTTAATTTTTAATTTTAATTTTAGTAAAGACTTTGCGAGACGAAGATTATTATTTCGTCGCGCAAAGGCATCCAAAAATTTTTTAAAATAATTTTTAATTTATTTATTTTTGTAAATATTTTGCGAGACGAATCACTATTCGTCGCGCAAAACTGTGTGCACCGAATTCTAGTATTCGTCGCGCAAAGTTAGTTTTCGCGACGATGCTTTGTCGTCGCGCAAAGTTTTGTTGCGCAAAGTGACTTTTTGCGACGATTTTTTTTTCGTTGCGCAAAATTGAGTCGCGTAAGACTTTGAGCGATGATGGTTAATATTTGTCGCGCAAAGTCACTTTGCGCGACGAATTTTGTTTCGTCGCTCAAAGTTTGGTCACGCAAGGGGTTTTTTTTAGTAGTGCTTATACGTTAGAGAGGTGAGAGATGATTCCATCTGTTAAGATAAAATTCCAAAGACTTTAATTTCATAAGTGAAGCAAAACATTCAAATTAGAGACATAGATAATTAGAAATGTAAACAAAAGCATCCATATAAATATCATTAGTGACAAAAGCATTTTTCAGAAATCAAATTACATAGTTTATACAAATTTTGACAGGAAGAATGAGAAAAGCTCACAGTGTTATTGCCACCATAGCAAATTATGTCCCTTTTGGGGTTTTGAAAGTAATCTTTGTAGAGCTTATATACGGTGGTGGTGGTGGATATGTTGTTGTAGCCATTGCCAGCACCTCTTGGCCAAACCTAAATAAAAAAAGTTAAAGAAAACAATCACACGAAGCGCAGTTGTCGAAATCAAACATAAAACAAACTGAAATAACCTAATATAAACATTAAGAAATCACCCAACTATGTACATAGAAACACATAATTTAAACCTAGAAACACAGTCTCCTTTGCTTGCATCACAACACCTACACCTGAAGCGAACACATAGCCACACAATTGTTTAAACCAAATTCCATATAAACCTGCAATTTCCTTTTAACAGGGCCAAAATACCCACACCTCCTTCTGCTTCATTACCACTCTATCACCTAAAACACCCAAACCACAATAAAATGCATTCTACCAAACCAAAAATAAAACCCATTTAAACAAAACATTCTCAAAGATTACAGGCTACACAAATCATCCTGAAAATTAAATTGATAACTCCATCTGCATTAGCTGTTGATACTTAACTCTAGTACATCTATGCACACACCCCACCACTCTTTATATTAAGTTTTAGCACCCTATTGCCAGATTACTCTTCTCTTTCAATCCAAGAACCTACTACACTCTTATCTTCTCTTCACAAACCCTAAATACGGTATGCAAATAGTGGCTTGTGGGTCGTCAATTGACTTCGACAACACTGTTTTTATCTCTTTAAGTAATGTGAGATTGATGTGAATTTAGAGTGGTGATGGGCAATATAGCGAGGTGGGGGGTATGGGGTGTGGGGTGTGGGGTGTGGGGTGTGGAGTGTGAGGTTTATGAGTTTTTTTAATATATATATATTTTCTGCTGTGTGTGTGCTTAGGGGTAGTCGGTTGTAGTAGCTAGTCTAGTAAGTGGAACCAAAAAAGAAGAACTCCGATCTCTAGAGTTGCAACAGTAGCATGAGAGAAACAAAATAAACATAATGCCCGTTGAAAGGCAGGAAGTGAAGGAGCGCATGGGCTCATGGAAGGAAGGAATAAAATGACGGGCTGATATACAAGTCAAATGGACTTAGGAAACAACTCTAAGGCACTTGATAAGTATAACTCTACCTAGGAATCACCCTCTAGGTAGGATAAAAAGCATTCAGTAAGCGGGAAAGGAAGTAGCCATGTAGAAAAATAAAAGTTGCCCAAAATAATAATAAAAAGTTACACCCATAGGAAGAGAGGAAGTGGAAACAAAAGAAAATTCATCACATTGTAAGCAGAAAGGGATGCGTGCAGAGAGAGCAGAAGGAATATTTGAAGGGAATAATGGGGATAAGAGAGAGTGCGGCATAACAATAGAGGATAGGAGGTGAAACTATAACTTAGGGCATAGAGAAAAGAAAAACAGAGCGTGAGGAAGTTTGAATTTCAAAGCACCATAGAAATAATAGAATAAGGTATGAGAGAGAAAACTACGTGGGAACAGAGAAGTAATAAAAAAAAGATAATCACACGAGCATAGAGGCCCATAGAGATTGACCAAAAAAAAAAGAAAAAAAAGAGGCCCATAGAGAGTAAAATAAAGAGGGATTATTGAAACAAAAAAAAACAAAAAAAATGTTGTGTCAAAATGTGTTGGTTCCAAGAACCTCCCCACTTGTTAACTTGTTACAGTAAGAAGAAGATGCATGAACTTGAAATTGAGAGTCGGCCCCACCACTCCACTGAACCCGGCCATGCTTCTACCTGCGACCAAAAACAATGCCCAGATTATTTCAGTGGTGCTTCTCAAGACGAGACCAGACTAGCAATTGAATCCATTTCGAATTGCGCGCCAAGAAACCAGGTTAAGCTCCAACTGATTATTTATCTAAATTCTAATAGCCTCCTCCTAGCTCAGCTATTTTTAATTTCTTTTACATTTTCTGCATACATATGTTTGGCAGATGCTAGCTACTGACTCTGTATCTGGTATGTTGGGTTTTCAAATCTAGGACAGTATAGCTGAGTCAACTCTAGTCAACTCTAGGATATAGAAGCATCTACTTACTACTAAGCATTGTAATTTGTAATATACAGATTGATCAATACAAATCATAATTTCTCTCTGAATTGATTCTTTCTTCTTCTTCCTCTTTCTTCATTTGCTCTAGGAGTTAAAAAGTTTAGTTGATTCTTGGGTCTTTTCGACGAACAGAGATTAAAAAATTACCAACTCGAGGAATTTGATTGAGACAGGGAACAAATTACATATGTTGTATTATTTATTATGAAAAAGAGAAAGATAAAGTTGGTGGTGAATGGTTTTCAACTTGGGAGCTATATTTACATACTTGTACATTCACTAGAGGAGTGTCAGTGTGTCTTCTATGACAGTTTTAAACCTCCATGATTTGATTAATGGTTGTTGTGATGAAATTTTCGTTTCTTCAAGACCATATTATGTGAGTGGATACCATATTGATTGTGATAAAAACTATATCAGTTGGGATGTATTGGCATTGCATTTTCAGCTGCTACGTACTAAATGTTTACCGTCTTCAATCGATATCCAGCAACCTCATTGTACACTTATACCACTCTTTCTTTCTAGAATAATGAGTATTTATATTTGGTTCACATGCCAGTGCCAAGCCTTGAAGATAATGATGAAAGCTACTGGGATTACTCTCATTGTCCGTCCTTGAACGATCTCCATGCCAGTGAATTTCCACAAACCAGAAACTAAGGAGGAGGTTCCAGCAGCGACAATGAGCATACACAGAACCTTTACATCTTTCCCTTCTTCATCTTCTCAATGGAAATATGATGTCTTTCTGAGTTTTAGAGGTGATGACACTCGCAAGGGTTTTACAGACCACTTATACACTGCATTGGAACATCAAGGAATTAGAACTTTCAGGGAGGACCTTGAACTTCAAAAGGGGATGGCTATTTCTCCAGAGCTTTTGACTGCAATTGAAGAGTCGAGGTTTGCGCTCATTGTTCTTTCACGAAATTATGCGTCATCAACATGGTGCCTGGATGAACTTGTAAAGATTCTTGAATGCATGGAAGAAACAAAAACAGTGCTGCCAATTTTCTATGATGTTGATCCCTCTGATGTCCGAAAACAAACAGGAACTGTTGCAGAAGCCTTCATTAAACATGAAGAGAGGTTCGTGGATGATGCAAAGAAGGTACTACAGTGGAGAACTGCCTTAAAAAAAGTAGCAAATCTCTCTGGGTGGAATTCAAAGGACTGGTACGTTACTCTTTCTTTTTTCTATTCAAAGGACTGGTATCTCTTCTGATATATATATGTATGAGGAACAGAAATAGAATAAAAATATTTAAACGGCTTTTTTGGAATCATCAATATGAATATGTAGTTGTAATATTGCATTACTTAACAATAGATGATTTCCTTCTTCTTCTTTTTTCACTATGTATGCTACAGTTCACATGGGACATAAGAAATTAGATGACCAGTTCCAAACTCAGTCTCATTACAGTAATAAAAACGAATAAGTACAATGCAGGATAGATATTGTGTAATTATTTTTTTGGTGAAATAAGGGAAATCCCCAGAAAACAACTAAGCCCCGCACATGAGTCGAGGCCTAGCAAGACCAAGTAAGTCATCCATCAACAGATAGCTAACCCAGACAGGAGCCTCATCAAAGAAGCAAATTCCCAAATCCAGATTATAACTCCAGTTTGCCAAACAATCGGCAACACAATTCTTTTCCCTGTAAATGTGGACAAGGTGACAAGTTCCAATTTGTCGCATGAGATCACAACAACTATGCACCAAAGCAGCAAGAGGATGGCATTGCAATGAATTGATTTGTTGAACAAGTGAGACAGCAACAGCAGCATCCATTTCAATAGCAAGGTTAGTGACACCTTTTTCAACAGCAAGTTTTAGCCCAAAATATAGGCCCCAAACCTCAGCCTCCAAGATATGACCTTGGCCCAAATTCACAGCAAACCCGGCAATCCAGTCACCTGAGGAGTCAAAAACAACTTCTTTCTGGGATATGTATGAAAAAAGATGATATATCAAACCTTCATGAAGGAGCCATGATCATAAGGAGGGTTTTATGTCAGAAAAAGGTTCTTCTCATTCTTGATGATGTGAATCATTTGGAACAATTAGAAAGTGTGGCTGGAAATCATGGTTGGTTTGGTTTTGGGAGTAGAGTTCTCATTACAACTAGAAATGAGCATTTGTTGATCAAACATGGAGTGGAGAGAAGATTTCAGGTAAAGGGACTAAAAAGTGAAGATGCTCTTCAACTGTTTAGTTGGAAAGCTTTTAAAAAGGATTACCCTGAAAAGTATTATCTTATTTTGTCTAATCGCGTAGTGAGTTATGTCAAAGGTCTTCCATTAGCTCTTGAGGTCTTGGGATCGTTCTTGCATGGAAGAGGTTTAAGTGAATGGAACAGCACGTTGGGAAAACTTGGAGTGTGCAACTTGGAAATTTTTGAGGCATTAAAAATTAGTTATGATGGTCTAGATGATAATGAGAAGAAAATGTTCCTGGACATTGCGTGTTTCTTTAACGGGAAGGACAAAGATCGAGTAATAGAAGCTTGTGATGTTTCTGCAGTAGTTATAGTAGAAGTCCTCATCGAGAGATCTCTCATAAAGATTTGGGGTGGAAGGCTTTGGATGCATGATTCGCTCCAAGAAATGGGTCGGCAAATTGTACTCCGAGAATTTCCTGATGAGCCTGGCCGGTGCAGCAGGTTGTGGTTTCGTGAAGATGCCAATCATGTCTTGAGCAAAAATACTGTAAGAGATTAATTAGTACATGCACAAGAATAATTTGAGTTGTTATATGATAAAACAAGGTACTCTACTAACCCTTTTTTAACGTTAATTATGAGCTTCACTATTCCATGTTAATAGGGAACAGAGGCAATAGAAGGCATAGTTCTGCACCCAGCTGATCCAGGGGTACAGGTGCATGCAAATGCTAAATCCTTTTCAAAGATGGTGAAACTAAGATACCTCAAGATTAGTAATGTGCGCCTTTACAATGGACTTGAAGATCTTCCCAATAGCTTACGCATTCTTAAATGGACGGGGTATCCTTTAACATATTTCCCATCACATTTCAACCCAGAGAAGCTACTAGAACTCAAAATGTGTCATAGTTGCATAAAACATTTTCGGATGGGAACAAAAGTATATATCCTTTTACTCATTTGATCTTTTATTACCTAGAAAAACTGTTCAATCAGGGAATCTAATTTTGCTATGCTTTTGAAATTTGACAGCCTTTACACAATTTGAAAACCATCAAACTCAGTCACTCTCTGAATCTTGTCAGCACGCCAAACTTTAAAGGTATGCCAAATCTTGAGGTTCTGATTCTTGAAGGTTGTCCACGATTGTTTGAGGTTGATCCATCAATTCAAGTGCTGGAAAGACTTACTCTGCTGAACTTGAAAGATTGCAAAAACCTTGCCCATCTTCCAAGCAGTGTAGGTTGCTTAAAATCTCTCAAAGTTCTTAATCTTTTTGGTTGTTCGAGGCTTAATATATTGCCAGAAGAGTTGGGTTACATAGAGTGTCTGGAGGAGCTTGATGTGAGTAGAACTTCCATAAGAGAACTACCTTCCTCTATTGGAAGGCTTAAAGGTCTTACTTTGATGAACTTGAAAGATTGCAAATATTTTATGCATCTTCCAACTAGTGTAAACGGCTTAAAATGTCTCAAAGTTCTTAATCTTTCTGGTTGTACAAGACTCCATGCACTGCCGGAAGAGTTGGGTCATGTTGAGTGTTTGGAGAAGCTTGATGTGAGCAGAACTGCCATATCAGAACCACCCTCCAACCTTTATCTTTTGAAAAATCTTAAAATATTATCAATTCAAGGATGTAAAGGATCCATCACCTTCTTCTATTGATCCCAAATCTCTCATTTCTTTTTGCCTTTGGAGTTTCAATTTTTAAGAGGACCTGCTCATAAAAGTGACTGCAATCTTTTGGGAAGGAGCAATTCCTATGTTCTCAGCTGCTTGTCCTTATTGAGAAGATTAAATCTAAGAAGAAACTACTTTGCTAGTCTATTTGTAGACGTTCCTAATGAATCTCACTGGACACATTGTCCAATCTGAACTAGTCCTTTAACTTTTAAGCTTTATTTGGATTTTGATTCTCTGAATGTCACCTACAAAAACTGTTCAATCAGGGAAGCTAATTTTGCTATGCTTTTGCAATTTGACAGACTTTACACAATTTGAAAACCATCAAACTCAGTCACTCTCTGAATCTTGTCAGCACGCCCAACTTTAAAGGTATGCCAAATCTTGAGGTTCTGATTCTTGAAGGTTGTCCACGATTGTTTGAGGTTGATCCATCAATTCAAGTGCTGGAAAGACTTACTCTGCTGAACTTGAAAGATTGCAAAAACCTTGCCCATCTTCCAAGCAGTGTAGGTTGCTTAAAATCTCTCAAAGTTCTTAATCTTTTTGGTTGTTCGAGGCTTAATATATTGCCAGAAGAGTTGGGTTACATAGAGTGTCTGGAGGAGCTTGATGTGAGTAGAACTTCCATAAGAGAACTACCTTCCTCTATTGGAAGGCTTAAAGGTCTTACTTTGATGAACTTGAAAGATTGCAAATATTTTATGCATCTTCCAACTAGTGTAAACGGCTTAAAATGTCTCAAAGTTCTTAATCTTTCTGGTTGTACAAGACTCCATGCACTGCCGGAAGAGTTGGGTCATGTTGAGTGTTTGGAGAAGCTTGATGTGAGCAGAACTGCCATATCAGAACCACCCTCCAACCTTTATCTTTTGAAAAATCTTAAAATATTATCAATTCAAGGATGTAAAGGATCCATCACCTTCTTCTATTGATCCCAAATCTCTCATTTCTTTTTGCCTTTGGAGTTTCAATTTTTAAGAGGACCTGCTCATAAAAGTGACTGCAATCTTTTGGGAAGGAGCAATTCCTATGTTCTCAGCTGCTTGTCCTTATTGAGAAGATTAAATCTAAGAAGAAACTACTTTGCTAGTCTATTTGTAGACGTTCCTAATGAATCTCACTGGACACATTGTCCAATCTGAACTAGTCCTTTAACTTTTAAGCTTTATTTGGATTTTGATTCTCTGAATGTTTGGCTTTGAAGTTTCTGGACTCCATCTCCATCTCCGCACCATGTGTTGGTTTTGGTCTTCATCCACTCTGCTTTGTTATCGGCTTCACTTGCATCATCAATCCCATTATTTGGTGTGTGAGTGAGCTCATGAATCATGATCCAAGTGAAGCAATAACAAACAAGAGTGCCTTGTAGCCTTGGGCAATGTTGAAATGTGATTTGATATTTTGGTCTAGGGTGTAAGAATACTTTGATCTTTCTCTTACATACTGGATCAGAGCAACATCTAGAGCAGAAAAAAGAACTACTTTTTATTTTATATTGTTTTTAATTTCCTGTGGATCAAAGCACATGTCCAGTTGTAAGTTGTGCCGAGACAGAGTCAAAGTCTTAGTCAGAGAGCATTTGGAGGGATCAATTCACGTCGGTCAAGCTTTTCCCTGGAAGGTGCCTCCAGCAAGGTTTAGACTTTAAGATGACAAGCCCTTACCCTACTGGGCCACTTGCACTTCCTCCTCAACCATTGACTTCTTCACCAAATACCACAATTCTATTGAGCCACTTGCACTTCAAATGTGATTTCATATATATACAATTCTTATGGTCCATTTTGGAACTGATGATGAGGGCCGGCACTCACAAAATTTAACATGAAAATACTAAAAAAATTCCTATCAAGAGCCTGTGATTGTTTAAAAATATATATATCAAGAGCTCCTCTTTCACTTTGAGTTGAGATTGAGTTAATACTCAATTTTTCTTTTTCTTAGTCGTTTCCTAGTACGTGACATGATTAGATTAATACAAAGAAAAATTCTAAAACACAACACGACTAGAAGCCCACATGTGCGGTGGCTGTAAGTTTGCGGTAGTTATATATTTCCCCTCTCCTGCATCACATTCTTATCACATTTTGCTTACACACCTTAACTCTGTTATCTTCTTCGCCAGAAACAGACTACGCACTAACCCTTCACTTCCTCAATGATCACCCAAATAGGTATTCCTTCTTCCTCTTCTTCTTCTTCTCCTCCGACCCCTCGATGGACATACGATGTGTTCCTCAGTTTCAGAGGAGAAGACACCCGCACAAATTTCACAGACTTTCTGTATACTTCTCTGATACAGAAAGGAATATTCACATTTAGAGATGATGAAGAACTTGAGAGGGGAAAGCCCATAGCTCCAAAACTCTCGAAAGCAATCGAAGCATCAAGATATGTAATTGTCATTCTTTCACGAAACTATCTCAATTCTACATGGTGCTTGGATGAGCTTGTAAAGGCTGTTGAATGCATGAACCTGATGGGACAAACAATACTCCCAGTTTTCTATCATGTGCATCCATCCGAGGTATGAAAGAAAGCAGATTTTGGGGAAGCCTTCTCTAAGCATGAAGAAGCCTTTAAAGACAATAAACAGAATGTGCAAAGATGGAGAGATGCACTTACTCAAGTTTCCAATCTCTCTGGATGGCATTTACAAGATGAGTAAGGACTGAAACTTTCTTCTTTTTCTTGTTTTTTTATTCATTTATTTATTTTTATAGACAATTATAATCCAGAGAGTAACTATGACCATAGAACTGGTAAGTGAAACATTTGACCTATTGCCACTAGTACTACCATAAAAAACGAAAGCAATCGAAGCATCAAGATATGTAATTGTCATTCTTTCACGAAACTATCTCAATTCTACATGGTGCTTGGATGAGCTTGTAAAGGCTGTTGAATGCATGAACCTGATGGGACAAACAATACTCCCAGTTTTCTATCATGTGGATCCATCCGAGGTACGAAAGAAAGCAGATTCTGGGGAAGCCTTCTCTAAGCATGAAGAAGCCTTTAAAGACAATAAACAGAATGTGCAAAGATGGAGAGATGCACTTACTCAAGTTTCCAATCTCTCTGGATGGCATTTACAAGATGAGTAAGGACTGAAACTTTCTTCTTTTTCTTGTTTTTTTATTCATTTATTTATTTTTATAGACAATTATAATCCAGAGAGTAACTATGACCATAGAACTGGTAAGTGAAACATTTGACCTATTGCCACTAGTACTACCATAAAAAAACTAACAAAGAAAAAGGCACGGTTGTGATTTTAAAGTATTTTGGGAACACTGGTTCGGCTGAGTTAACTCATACAATTCTGTGAAGCATTCCATTATCTTTGGAACCTCATTGCTGCTGCATGACTTACCATGAGATGGTTATTATTTTGCAGTTATGAATCAAAAGTTATTCAAGATATCGTAGGAAAGATTTTCACTGAATTAAATCAACCAATCTCAAGTGTAGCCACAGATTTAGTTGGGATGGATTCTCGCGTGAAAGAAATGCTTTCTTGCTTAGACATGGGGCTGCATAAAGTTTGTGTCATAGGGATTTTGGGCATTGGGGGAATAGGTAAGACAACTGTTGCAAGAGTTGTTTACGAGAGGATATGTGCTCAATTCGAAGCTTGCAGCTTTCTTGCCAATGTTAGAGTATTTTGCAGTTATGAATCAAAAGTTATTCAAGATATCGTAGGAAAGATTTTCACTGAATTAAATCAACCAATCTCAAGTGTATCCACAGATTTAGTTGGGATGGATTCTCGCGTGAAAGAAATGCTTTCTTGCTTAGACATGGGGCTGCATAAAGTTTGTGTCATAGGGATTTTGGGCATTGGGGGAATAGGTAAGACAACTGTTGCAAGAGTTGTTTACGAGAGGATATGTGCTCAATTCGAAGCTTGCAGCTTTCTTGCCAATGTTAGAGAGGTAACTGAAAAACAAGGTCTAGTTGATTTGCAAAAGCAACTTCTGTCAGATATCTTGCTGGAAAGTAATGTAAATGTACATAATATTTATCAGGGGATCAGTTTAATAAGGCAGAGACTACATACTAAAATGGTTCTTATCATTCTTGATGATGTGGATACTGTGGAACAACTGGAAGCATTATGTCATCATAGTTGGTTCGGTTCAGGGAGTAGAATTATCATAACATCAAGAAATGAACATTTGTTGAGCACATTTGGAGTGAATAAAGTGTATAAGGTTAAGGAATTAAATGATTCTGAAGCTGTTAAACTGTTTAGTAGGAAAGCCTTCAAGAAAGACCAAGTTGGAGAAAATTTTCTCAAGCTGTCTAAGAATGTGGTTGAATATGCCAGTGGTCTTCCATTGGCTCTTACAGTTTTGGGTTCATTCCTTTTTGGTAAAAGCATTGAACAATGGTCAAGTGCATTGGATAGACTAAAAGAAAATCTCGATAAAGGAATTATCGATGTGCTTAAAGTAAGCTTTGACACATTACAAGTCACCGAAAAAAAAGTATTTTTGGACATTGCATGTTTCTTTAAAGGGGAGGACAAAGATCATGTAGCAAAAATACTAGAAAGTGGTTGCAGATACCGTCCAGACATTGATATAAAAGTTCTCATAGATAAATCTCTAGTAACTCTAGTTGGAAGAAAATTGTGCATGCATGATTTGATACAAGAATTGGGTTGGGAAATTGTACGTCGAGAATGTTGTGAAGATCCAGGAAAACGTAGCAGGTTGTGGCTTCCCAAGGATATCATCCACGTACTTGTACAAAATAAGGTTAGAAATTAATAAAAGTACAGTTGTTAAAACTAATTATTAATGTCAGTTTATGCTGCTGTATCATGCGTATACCTTATTTCTTGTTCCTTTTTATTAAGGGAACGGATACAATTGAAGGTATGTTCCTCAACTTGCTGAAACAAGAGGATGTTGACTTGAATGCTAATTCCTTCTCAAAGATGTCCAACCTAAGATTGCTCAGAATTTGTAATGTGGCCTCTCCTAGATCCATTGAATATCTTTCTAATGAGTTACAACTTTTGGAATGGCATGCATGTCCTTTAGATTCTTTGCCGTCAAACTTTCAATCAGATAAGCTGGTTGAACTCAAAATGCATTCGAGCCGTGTCAAACAGCTGTGGAATGGAAATGAAGTAAGATTATATTCTTATGCATGTTTATGTTATTTATGTATCAACCAAATGTTTGTTCTAATTCATATGATTATTTTTCAAATATTATCAGAGCTGGAGCATGCTAAAGTGCATCAATCTGAGTGATTCCCAATACTTGATCAAAACCCCAAACTTCACTAAGGCTCCAAATATTGAGATGTTGGTGCTTCAAGGCTGTTCAAGATTGGTTGATGTTCACCCGTCCATGGGAATTCTCAAACAGCTTATCTTGCTGAATATGAGAAACTGCAAATCTGTAAAGACTCTTCCGTCTTTCATTAATATGGAATCTCTTGAGAGTTTAAATCTGTCCGCCTGTTCAAGACTCAAGAAGTTTCCTGAGATAGAAGGGAATATGCGAAGCCTGTTGGAGCTTCATCTAGATGGGACTGCCATAGAAGAATTACCTCCATCAATTGAACATTTGACCAGTCTTGCTTTGTTGAATCTAGGAGACTGCAAAAACCTTTTTCATCTTCCGAGTACCATTCAACATTTGACATCTCTGAAAACTCTCATTCTAACTGGTTGCTCAGAACTTAGTGACATACATGAGAATCTGAATTGTGTGGAATGTCTGGAGGAGCTTGATATAAGTGGAACTGCTATAAGAGAATCGTCGTTCATTGTAGGTTTGAAGAATCTAAAGTCTCTATCTTTTCGAGGTTGTAAAAATCAGCCTTCAAGATCATGGCATTCAGTCTTTAATTATTGGTGGCGGGGTAGAAACGGTCATGTTCCTGGTAGTTTATTGTTGCCTACTTCACTTTCAGGTTTAAGTTCTTTGACAAACCTAAACCTAAGTGATTGTAATCTGATGGATGGAGAAATTCCCAATGATCTTGGTTCCTTGTTCTCCTTAAAAACATTAGATTTAAGGCAGAATAATTTTGTTGGCTTACCTGAAACCATCTCTCAACTCTCCAAGCTTGAATTTATCAATGTGAGCAAGTGTAGCAGGCTTCAATTGCTGCCTAAGAAGCTTCCATTAAGTCTTCAACGTGTGAATATGGAAGATTGTGCTTCACTGATAGACTTCCCAAATCAAGTCAAAATATTTGCTTCACCTCTCTTGGGAAAGACTACTAGCGATTCCCGCATTTCATCCAAGTTTCAAGATTTCAATTCTGAGAAACAAGAATGGAGACCAGTTGACGATTTGCAAATTCAATTGCTTCAAAGACAGCTTGAAGTCTCTCTCTCTCTCTCTCTCTCTCTCTCTCTCTCTCTCTCTCTCTCTCTCTCTCTCTCTCTCTCTCTCTCTCTCATTCACACACACATACACACACATGGAAACACATATAACTTATAAGCAAACACAGGGCATCCTGTTTTTCATGACTACTTATAATCCTTTTCTGTTTTATGTTACAGGTATTGAACTATAGATTAACTCCCTTACAGGCAGTTAGTTATCAAACAGAAATTCCAGAGTGGTTCAGCCATATGGTTACAGCGTGTTCTATTGCAATCCAGCTATCTCCAGATTTGATTGATTATAGAAAGTTGATGGGGGTTGCTCTATGTGCTGTTTTCTCACTAAAGGGACATCCTGCTGCCTCTTGCATTGGATCGGATTCAGGAACTTCTTACTTCTATCAATGCAAATTACCAATTCATAAATTTTTTGAATCTAAACCATTAATCCTTCATGGCAAGCTACATCGCAAATTTGGAACTGATGATTTTCTTTGGGTTTTCTATTTACCTCGTCGGTTCTTTCCAAATGTGTTAAGTGATTCAAGTGTTATGAGTGCTCTATTTGAAACCAACAACCCATGCATGGAAGTGAAGAAATGTGGGGTTCGTCTAGTGTATGAGCAAGATGTTGCAGGGTTTATCCAAACATTACTACAGTGTGTTACTACTGGACCCCAGCCACATCAAATTGTCCCTTATGATGACTACAGGATAATTGAAGAATTTGATGAAGATGGCTTTAAAACTGGATGGTTTAGTATAGTGGATAACGTTTGGAGATGGTAAAATTTATTTGTCTGAGAAGTATGTATGTTGCATCGTAATAAATCTTCTCCATAGTTGATTTGACCTTGCATATTACATTTGAATATGATTGCAGGCAGAAATTAATTCCAGCTTATGAAGAAGGTGTTGGTCCAGCGTATGAAGGTGGTGTTCGATTACCATTTTGGTGTAACGTTTGGATAAGGTGTAAGACTGGACTTGCCTTTCTGGTGTGAAGTTTCGAAGCAGGAACAGCAGAGGAAACAGAGGATTCGGCCAGTCAGATGAGGTTGGGTGGCCGGTAGTGTTACTCCGAGAAAAAAAATGTGAAACGTACTTCCGGTAGTGTTACTCCGAGAAAAAAAATGTGAAACGTACTTGTGTATTAAGCCCGCCCTTATTCTGTTTTCATTACAAGATCAATATGATTTTGCTTTGCCTTTTGCATCTCTCAATATATTGACACCAAAAAAGAAAAAAACTTCAAGTAGACTATGCGAATTGTATCTCTCAATATCTCACAATAATTAATACATGGATTCCGAAGGAGAAATTCCCTATTCTTTTAAAAGCAAAAACTGTTACATTGCATTTGCCTTAGTTTTAAATACTCTGGTTTTTAATGAATTGTGAAGGTCATGGTGGTCTCAAGTAGGCGTTGGCTTTTAAGCTTTGTTTGGATTTGTATGCTCTGTCGGAATGTTGGTTGTCAAGCTTCTGGGCTCCATCTCCATCTCCACGCCATGTGTTGGTTTTGGTATTCGTCCAGTCTTGTTTGTTATTTGCTTCACTTGCATCCCATTAATTGGTGTGTGGGGAGTGAGTGACCTCATGATCCAAGTCATGATCCAAGTGAAGCAACAACAAACAAGAGTGCCTTGTAGCCTTGGACAATGTTCAAATGTGACTTCATATTTTGGTTTTGGGTGGAAGAACTATCTGCCTCAAATAGTTGAGGTAATACTTTGCTCAGAAATAATTTCATTAAAAATATTTCCTACCATCACCCGATAATTCTGTATGCCAAGTTTGGCGAGTTATTAGGCTAAGCCAAGTTGCAAACCAACCTTGAACAACAAACAAAAAGACCATGCCCACCAACTGTTCGTTGAAAGGATAATTTCAAACAAAAAAAAAAAAAACCTTGTCCAAGCTGAAATGAGTCTCGTTGGCGACGAAAGTGATTGGCCTCTTCTATGCATTTGTTTTGTTTCAAGGCTTAAAAGGAAGGAGAAGTTAATAATGCAAAGTTTTGCTAAACCCCATTATCAGATTTTGGCCAAAAACATAGCAAGCAGCAACCGTCAAACACTCCTTCAATAATGATACCCCAAGCAGATATTTCTTCTTTGTCTTCTTCTTCTTCTTCTCCGACGCCTCTATGGATGTACGACGTCTTCCTCAGTTTCAGAGGCAAAGACACCCGCACAGGTTTCACAGACCATCTCTATGCTGCTCTGATTCGGAAAGGAATTATCACATTCAGGGATGATGAAAAGCTCAAGAAAGGAAAATCTATCTCCAAGCTCTTCAATGCAATTGAACAATCAAGGTATGTGGTCGCCATTCTTTCGAGTAATTATGGCGATTCGACATGGTGTTTGGAAGAGCTTGCAAAGGCTGTTGAATGCAAGGAACTGATGGGACAGACACTAATCCCAATTTTCTTTCACGTCCATCCATCTGAGGTGGGAAATCAAACAGGGAGTTTCGAGATAGCCTTTTCTAAGAATGAACAAGCCTTTAAAGGTAATTTAGAAAAGGTGGAAAGGTGGAGAGCTGCACTTTCTCAAGCAGCCGGTCTCTCTAGATACCATTATTTGCATAATGGGTACACAAAACTTACTATTCTTCAAGTTTTTTTAATTCTTCTTTTTAACAAAAGCAGATATTCTATATGGTAGGCTACTAGATTTTAATAATTAGAAGAAGTAATGAACTACAGTTTTATAAATTATGTTCAATTATATTTGGTTCTTGCATTTCTGGTGCTGACTGACTTACCCATGAGATGGTTATTTATTATTATTAGTTGCAACCTTTTGCAGATATGAATCAGAACTCATTCAAACTGTTGTCCGCAATATTTCCACTGAATTATGTCAAACAATGCCTAGTGCATTTACAGATTTAGTTGGGATGGATTCTCGCGTAAAAGAAATGCTTTCGTACTTAGTGATAAGGTTGAATAAAGTACGCATGATAGGCATTTGGGGGATGGGGGGAATGGGTAAGACGACTATTGCTCATGTAGTTTCTGAAAGGATACGTGCTCAGTTTGAAGCTTACAGCTTTCTTTCGAATGTTAGAGAGGTAACTGAAAAACAAGGTGTAGTTCATTTACAGAAGAAACTTCTTTCAGACATCTTGCTGGAAAGTAGTGTAAGCATACACAACACTTATACAGGAATCAGTATAATTAGGCGAAGATTATGTACTAAAAAGGTTCTTATCATTCTTGATGATGTGGATCGGTTAGAACAATTGAGGGCATTGTCTGGCCATAATTGGTTCGGTCCAGGGAGTAGAATCATCATAACCTCAAGGGATAAACGTGTGCTAATAGAACATGGAGTGGACAAAATATATCAGGTTAAGCCATTGACTAACAATGAAGCTCTTCAACTCTTTAATTGGAAATCCTTCAGGAGTGACCAGGTTGGAGAAGAATTTCTCGAGCTATCTAAGAGTTTTGTAAAATATGCTAATGGCCTCCCATTGGCCATTGAAAATCTAGGTACATCCCTCTTTCAGAGAAGCCTAGAAGAATGGCCAGGTGCATTATTTAGACTAAAAGAAAGGCCTGACAAAATAACTTTTGATGTTCTTAAAGTAAGTTTTGACGGATTACAGGAAATAGAAAAGAAAATATTTTTGGACATTGCATTTTTCTTTAAAGGAGAGGACAAATATCGCGTAACAAGAATACTAGAGTGTTGTTATGGCCACTGTCCAGTCATTCATATTAAAGTTCTCATGGAAAAATGTCTTCTAACTCCATTCGGAAGAAAATTGTGGATGCATGATTTGATACAAAAATTGGGTTGGGAAATTGTTCGTCAAGAAAATCCTGAGGCAGGCAAACGTAGCAGGTTGTGGCTTCCCAATGATATCATCCCTGTGCTTGTAAATAATACGGTAAGAAATCCATAGAACTACAGATCTAGAGATTGTTAAACTTAAAACTAAGTAATTCATCGTCTTTCTATTTCTCGTATTGGGTGCTACAACTAATTCTTTCTTTTTCCTCTTTATTAGGGAATGACTGCGGTCCAAGGTGTATACCTGAATTTTCAGAAAAATGAGGAGATTAACTTGAGTGTTAATGATCCTTTTTCAGAGATGAAAAATCTAAGATTGCTCAAAATTTGGAACGGGGACTTTTTTGGAAAAGCCAATTATCTTTCTAACCAGTTAGCACTTTTGGAATGGCATGAATGTCCTTTAAATTATTTGCCATCAGAATTTGAATCAGATAAGCTTGTCGAACTCAAGATGCATTCAAGTCGCATTAAACAACTATGGACAGGGGATAATGTAAGATCACTGTTAGCCTTCTGCATGCACATTGTTGAATATATTTGAAGTTGGGGATATTTTTAGATTCTAGTCGCTGATCTATAAGATGTATTTAGAAAACCATGTAGCCTTTATCATAATCATATAAGGTTTGTCTAGTGCTGATCAGTCTGTCTAGTGCTGAAACATGAAGCTTGAAACGTTATATCCTCTTGCCAAAATTACTATTACTGCTGTGTCATAATTACTCTCTTGCTCTCTCTCTCTCTCTCTCTCTCTCTCTCTCTCTCTCTCTCTGATGAAGCTTGAAACGTTTTAAAAAGACCAGCCAATTTATACCTTCCTGTTGATAACTATAGCCAACAAAAACAGTTAAGAACCGGAATGTTGATTCAGTAAACTGACAATCTGGGTTGTCAGAATATACATACGAGAGGGGGTGGGAAGTAACCAGGAAATAAACAACATATTACAAACAAGTGAATGAAAAAATTATAATGACAAAGACTATCTCAACCCATAAGATAATGCACTCATTTTTTTGTCCAGATTAAGTAAATACTTGGATAACCAATAGAATTAAATCTGACTATCTAAACTAGGGTTGAGAACACTGAGAACACTATTCACCAGCATACACAAACCCTAACCCTAGGGTTGAGAACAGAAGTAGGATATATATATACATATAATGAGATTTAATTAAATTAAGCTTTTTGTTTTAGTAAACAGTTTCTTAACTAATTCTACCACTAAGATATATAATCATTTTTAACTTTTTCTCACTTTTGCAAAAGGGATTAAAATTTAGCTACCCTAGGTGAATAGTTTTGATTTCAGATCCTCATTTAGCATAGGAGCAATAGAACGTACGTACTACCTGCAAACCGGATTTGACATAAACAATGAGCCAAAAATAAAGTTTCGCAACAGTAGGTCCACAAATTTTGAGGGTCTAATTTTAAAAATTATTGCTATATATACGTGCAATAAAGATATGTCTGGTTTGCAATGATTGACAATTATTTAAAATATAGATATGTAATAGATTCATGAGCTATACCTTCAGATGTCATCATTAAGTATTGTGCTCATTGCTTTTTATCCTTGCAGTTCTTGCTGAGAGTGTTCCAGTATTTCTTCAATGGCGTTCATGTAGTGGCTGCAAATTCCGGGAATTTTTTGAACCTTGGCGTTGTCGCCGCTGCGATTGATGACCATTTTGATGAAGCTGAGGGTGGGTTCAGAACAGAGGGCGAGGAAGGGGTATCCGGAGGTCGTCGCGGAGTGGGTGACTGCCTGGGTGTCGCGGCTAGGTTTGGGAGAGAGAGAGAGAGAGAGAGAGGTGGAGTTTATTGAGAAGTTTTGTGGTGGGAGGGTGGCAAGGGTTGGATATTGGGTGGGTGGTGTTGGGCAGTGGCTTGTTGGGTGGGGTTGGAGTGGTGGTGGGTGGTGATCTGATGGTGAAGTTAGGGGAGGGGGAGCGGACGGGAGAGAGGGAGAAGAAGATATTTTTTTATTATTAAAATTTTATTTTGTATTGCTTATTTTTAAAAGGAATTAATTTTTTAATAATTTGACGGAATTGCCCTTTTACAAGTAACGGAAGTTTAAAAAATTTGACAGAAATTGAAAATTGTCTTTAAATTGCTTAAATTCAAAACTACAGGGACAAAATTGATCAAATTGAAACGACAGGGACCAAAGTGGTAAAAGTGACAAACTACAGGGACCAAAAGTGACTTTTTGCCTATATATATATATGTATGTTCCAATCTCATATTCCAATGCAGTGGCTATGAGCTAATTTAAATTTAAGTAAAACTAGATAGGTCAAACAAAACGGAGTTCATAACATGCACATACAAAATCTTTAAGAGAGAAGATAGACATGTTTTACAAGTCTTAAAAAGGGCATCAATTATCCCATCACATATAATCTAGGAATTCGTCTTGGAAACTATCCCGCCTTTGTTGATTAAAAACCAAGTGCGTAAACCTAGATTTTACAGTTGAAATAAGCTTACCATTGGCCTTGGCCCCAAATCCATATTTGGCTGCTGTATTTGCCCACCTTGGTGCAGTGCGTGCTGTTACACAGAACTAAAACATTTAAATTCTGACATTGTTGACTAAGTCTGAAATTATTGGAAATTGATTCATTGAAATTGACTCGTGGCTTGGAAAGAAAGAACCAAGTGTGTAAACCTAGATTTTACAGTAGAAATAAGCTTACCATTGGCCTTGGCTCCGAATCCATATTTCGCTGCAGTATCTGCCCACCTTGGTGCAGTGCGTGTTGTTACAATTTAATCGTTTAAGTAAAAAAAAAAAGTAAATAGTATTTGCCCTTTGTCATGGCAATGAGTGGAAACACAATTACATAGCATGGGTCAACTTGTTCAAGAGACCCTTGTTTTTCAACAACTCTCCCACATGCCACATGGTAGATATTAGCACTTCGTATTTTTCATATTTAGTTTCCTCCAACATTTAAAGTGAATATTGTGAGTTTCAAGCCAAAAAAAACTTATAAAACCAAAAATTGAAATAAGTTATGTAACCTCTTATTCTTTTAATTTAATATACAAAAGACACATATTAGAGGTAACATCAATACACATTGCATGATATAGAATTCTTTGCAGTATATATTTTTTCTCTAGAAATAGTTTTATTAACACAGAACAGTTTAAGGATTACCATTATCCTATTATTTTGAGAGATGTGAGAGCTGTGTTGAGATAAGTATACTAAGACGTTCTTTTTTTCTTCCCTTTCTTATAGAGGTCTAGCTTCAGAGTCTTTTCTTGTTTCTAGTTTCCTATTTTTAGCAGAGTTTTCTCTTGTTGTATAATTGAGGACTACTTGTCCTCTTGATTATCAATACATTTGTTTCTATTAATAAAATAAAAAGTAATCCTTGTAAGATTTCTACTTAGAAAGGGAGCATGAGAATTCCTAGTGGCTTTAACACATCAATCAAATTCGTACTAATAATATCTGTGTGTGGTCTGAGACAGCTGAAATTGGCACTTAGGTGACGAGGGGTAAATTAAATGACACAAACACAACCACAACAAGCTTCACACACTTTAGACCTTGACCAAAACACTTATGACTAGTCAACTGCTAGTCATGAACAACCACAATCAAGAATACACACAGAGCATGCCACAATATACCTGCAACCCTAGAAAAATACTAGTGACAACCTAGGCACTCAGAAGGACCCGTCAATCTAGGCATCCCCTGTGCTAGCAACAACTACGGTGGAAGTGTGTGAAAACATTATAATCAAGTAAATACCAAACAGCAAATAATGATGACTAGTCAACCACCAAGAACTCAAACCCAGAAAAATTACAGATATGCAAACCAGATTTTGTTCACCCAGAAACCCACCATTGGGAAAAACTGGAGGTCATCAGTAATTTTTCTGGGTTTGAGTTCTTGGTGGTTGACTAGTCATCATTATTTGCTGTTTGGTATTTACTTGATTATAATGTTTTCACACACTTCCACCGTAGTTGTTGCTAGCACAGGGGATGCCTAGATTGACGGGTATCTTCATGGCAATGGCAGCTCCTTCTCCAGCTTGTTCATCCCATGGCACTAGCTTGCAAGCTCCAACTCAAACAGAAACCAAATTTGGATTCAAAGGAGAATGATCAATTTCTTCAAGAAACCATAGTCTTGAAGAAATCAATCTTGAATCTGACCTAGATATATATATGAGAGAGTGTTTGATCTAGCAAGATGAGGTTTTCATATTTCAAATGCAGTTTTCGAAAAATCAATTTGGAAAACTCAAAGATGAAAAATATGAAGGTTTGCTTTTGAGGAAGAAGAGATAGTTTCCAAGGAAACTTTCCAAAAAGTTGCCTACAAAAGTGATGACCACCAAATAAAGAATTGTTTGGCTTTTACACACAAAAATTCCCTAGGTCAGAATCGACACATGGCAACAGAGAGAGAAGATAGAATAGGACAAAAACACATGGGTAGGATCCAGCTGGAACAGTGAGCTGGAATTCCTACTAAAAGGATGACTAGTCATAATCTTCAGAAGTTAGAAAATGCAATGCAAAATTTACCTTTTGTCAAACCCATTGTTGTCCATCATAATGTAGCCAATTAAGCATACCTAGAGATGTAATTCTTAATCTAGACTAGAGCTTGAGAAAATACAATGATTGTCCTATTACAAAATTGTCAAGGGAAGCCAAAAGAAATACTCAAAATGCATACATTAACAATCTCCCCCTATTTGGCTTTCCTTGACAACACACTCTCTAAATACACTCAACCCAAAACCAAACCTAAGGAGATGATGAAATGAAGTACCTGCAAAACAGCAACCAAACTCCCAGGCACAAGACAAGCATATTATATCACAGAAATGTTAATTTCAAGCAATATGCAATATGTGCAATAAGGGGGTTGAGAGTGTTCTCCCCCTTGTTGATAAGGAAAGAGCAAAAAGACAATTGTAGAGAAACAGTAATCAAGTGAATTAAACACAAGTCACATAATCGGATTTGAACATTATGCACATAGCACAGGATGATTAGACAGCAAATAGCATTTGTTCAAAAACAAAACAAAACAACTCCCCTTATCAAGGTGCACAGACTACCCAAGCAAAAATGATCCGCACAATGTGATTACAAAATATACCACCCAAACTGTCCAAAAATACTCCCCCTATCTAGGACACAACCTAAATCAAACCTCTAGCTAAAAGACTAGAGAACCAGATGACTAGTCAACCAAGGCAATAGCGGGAGCATAAGTTGAGTAGTCAACCAAGGCAATAGCAGAACATGCAGAATCGGAAAACTAGTCAACCACAAGAAGCATGAGCATATGTTGACTAGGCAACCAAAGCAGTAGCATAACAAGCAGAAATTTTAGTATCGACCTTGTGATTTTACTACACCGAATGCACAGAAAAAAGTACCAAGTATGAAACTGTGCAAATAAGGCAAAGCCTTACTCCCCCTAAATACGATAGATGCAAAATAGGCGAGACAAGAGACCGGGGGATGCAAGTTACAATGCATAAGACCCTTCATTTATAAATAAGAAATCTACTCCCCCCCTAAGGTCAACAATCACAAAAGTGCATTAGGCTAAAGAAAATATGAAATGTAGCACAAGGTGCAAAGAATTATAGGCAACGCAATGAGAATCATGTGAATGGAATTGAATTCAATGTGTGGACATTACACAAAAAGAAACTCCCCCTAAACCAAAGCGCCCCCTTAGAAAACATACTCCCCCTGAGTATAATATAACATAAAGGAATTAACCTTTGACATACTAACCCATCAAACTCTCCATAAATAGCCAACAAACACAAAAGTGCATCAGGCTAGAGAGAATAAGAACTGGAGCACAAGTTGCAAGGAATCATACCCAAAGCAATTAAAATCAAGTGGCTGAATTTAATTTCAATGTGTACACATTACACATAAAGAAACTCCCCCAAAAAGACAGAGTTTAAGCAACATAATTATCAAAACAAGGCAGAGCACCAAGATTTCAAACTTTAAGGCATCAATCATTGTCAAATTTGAAGAAAACACCAAGCAAGATGAACTCTAAATTTTTGCTGAAAATTGAGGACATGTGAGAAAGAACACAAGACATAAGTCTCTAGGTTGTCCAAAAAACACAACATAGCTTTTCACCCCCAAAAAAATAGATTAGCCAACAATCGAAAACTTATATAGCACAGCAGACTCATAAGGATTTCAAGAATTATGTTAGGCTAAATCATTGAATGTGGGAACACAGCTTATTATGATGATGTGGGAACACAGCTTATTAAGATGAATGGTCATAGAGCATACCGAAATCTCATTATTCTGGACAAGCAGTGCACACAATAAAGAAGACATTCCAAGGTAAAAACACTGTACAAAACCTTTGACACCAAGAAGGATGTGAAAATAACCGAGAGCAATCCTAACAAAATGTAAGTAGTTCACAACATAACAAAGTGTTCCAAGGATAAGTAAATGACAAGCTCCCGAATAACCGAGAGCAATGCTAGCAAGATGTAAGTAGTTCACAACATAACAAAGTGTTCCAAGGATAAGTAAATGACAAGCTCCCTTTAATGGAAAAATCACAAAGTTCAATAGACCTATAAATTCAAAACATGAGATTGCAGCCAAGACAATCATCATTCGAGTTGCATAAAGCAACAACATCCACAGAAGTCTACTCAAAAGTGACTTAAGGAAACCACAAGAGACTCACAGACAACCAGGTCACATGTGGTAACATGGGTCAAATCCAAGAAAGACTAAATACCTTAAGACCAAGCCAATACTAGTGACCAATGACTAGTATATATGAATTTTTTTTAAAAAAAAACACAAACAAAATGGAGATTCATATTATAAGCACACGAAATTGAAAACACAAGTTAGTCCATTTTGCACAACCCAATAGATCTTTAAAGGAAATCAATACCTTCAAGTATCTAGTGGTTTAAAAAAAAGGCTAGTTGCTTCTCAATATGCACAAATTTCAAGTCATTGTTTTTCACCAAGATCTCTTATGTAAGAAAATACCTTAAGTCAATTAGTCAAACATCTACAGGATCTCACACATCATGAAGTTTGAATGAACATGATATCCAAAGTGAAACTATGAGACCAAAATAGATGAGAAATAATGATTGTTGAAAAGCATAGTCATCCAACATATGTTTCATCCAAAAGAACTCAGCCTTTGCTATGGACAAAAAAATTATTATTATATTTCTCACAATGCCAAACAGCAAGGTTGTTGCCAACATAAAAGAATTTCCCATTTTCTCACAAAATTTATCAAACTTTGTCTCATGGTTATGTTGGAACTCTAATTATTGGCAGATGACTAGTCAACTTTTTGTTATGCAGAAAGTGACACACATATTTAAATTTTTGAAATAAAAAATTTCAAACTTATCCCTCAAGAATAAGACCCATGTAAACCCAAAGAAGTCATCTACAATGACTAGGATGTATTCCTTACCATCAAGAGAAAATGTATAGACAAGACCAACAAGATAAATGTGAACAAGTTCAAAAGAACATGAAATTGTGTTGATCACCCAATGGTTCAAAGCACTGTGAGAGAGATGATTGAAAGGCATGCATGCAATGACCACATTTAAAAAAAAATGAAACTAATAAAACAAAAGAACAAGTAAGGTGCATATGCATGACAATGTATCTAGACCCCATGAAGCACACACAAACAAGAGACCGGTCTAGATACATAAGATAAAGAAACTAGTCACCAACATGAGGAAGAACATGGTCTTCCTTTTTTATCCAAACTTGCATCACTTTTGAAACTTTATGAGGCAAAGAGATCACCTTAGAAATTTTGACAGCTTTATAAAGAAGATCATTCACTTGAGTTTGAAGTGAGTCATCATTTACTTTCTTGAAATGAACAAAAGGCTTTTGCTCAAAATTCCTAAGCTCAAAACACTTTGGTCTAATGTGTCCTAATGTGCCACAATGATGGCATGTAGGAATGAACCTTTTTGGTTGTTGGAAACCAAATTTTTCAAGTGAAGAGTGGTTATCTCTTGTACAAACCATAGACTTTACAGCTGCATACCCTTTAAAAGATGACAAATGAGTCTTAAACTCACTTTCTTTGGAAACTCGAGACTCAATCCTAAGGATATGACACCTAGGTCGAATGTGTCCTTTCACACCACAATGGTGGCAAGTAGGCACAAGTTTGGATTGTGGATGAGACAACTTTCCCTTAGAAATAATATTCACGGAATCGAAACCCAAGTTGAGACCATGAACAAATTTTGGAGCTTCTTCAAAACACTTTGGTCTAATGTGTCCTAATGTGCCACAATGATGGCATGTAGGAATGAACCTTTTTGGTTGTTGGAAACCAAATTTTTCAAGTGAAGAGTGGTTATCTCTTGTACAAACCATAGACTTTACAGCTGCATACCCTTTAAAAGATGACAAATGAGTCTTAAACTCACTTTCTTTGGAAACTCGAGACTCAATCCTAAGGATATGAAACCTAGGTCGAATGTGTCCTTTCAAACAGAAACCAAATTTGGATTCAAAGGAGAATGACCAATTTCTTCAAGAAACCATAGTCTTGAAGAAATCAATCTTGAATATGACCTAGATATATATATATGAGAGAGTGTTTGATCTAGCAAGATGAGGTTTTCATATTTCAAATGCAGTTTTCGAAAAATCAATTTGGAAAACTCAAAGATGAAAAATATGAAGGTTTGCTCTTGAGGAAGAAGAGATAGTTTCCAAGGAAACTTTCCAAAAAGTTGCCTACAAAAGTGACGACCACCAAATAAAGAATTGTTTGGCTTTTACACACAAAAATTCTCTAGGTCAGAATCGACACATGGCAACAGAGAGAGAAGATAGAATAAGACAAAAACATATGGGTAGGATCCAGCTGGAACAGTGAGCTGGAATTCCTACTAAAAGGATGACTAGTCATAATCTTTAGAAGTTAGAAAATGCAATGTAATGCAATGCAAAATTTACCTTTTGTCAAACCCATTGTTGTCCATCATAATGTAGCCAATTAAGCATACCTAGAGATGTAATTCTTAATCTAGACTAGAGCTTGAGAAAATACAATGATTGGCCTATTACAAAATTGTCAAGGAAAGCCAAAAGAAATACTCAAAATGCATACATTAACAACAACCCATGACATATAACAGTAGATTTGTTCTGAAATTGTGAAACAAAACGGAGTTCATAACATGCACATACAAAATCTTTAAGAGAGAAGATAGACATGTTTTACAAGTCTTAAAAAGGGCATCAATTAGCCCATCACATATAATCTAGCAATTCATCTTGGAAACTATCCCGCCTTTGTTGATTAAAAAACAAGTGCGTAAACCTAGATTTTACAGTCGAAATAAGCTTACCATTGGCCTTGGCCCCAAATCCATATTTGGCTGCTGTATCTGCCCACCTTGGTGCAGTGCGTGCTGTTACACAGAACTAAAACATTTAAATTCTGACATTGTTGACTAAGTCTAAAATTATTGGAAATTGATTCAGTGAAATTGACTCGTGGCTTGGAAAGGAAGAACCAAGTGCATAAACCTAGATTTTATAGTCGAAATAAGCTTACCATTGGCCTTGGCTCCAAATCCATATTTCGCTGCAGTATCTGCCCACCTTGGTGCAGTGCGTGCTGTTACAATTTAATCGTTTAAGTAAAAAAAAAAAAAAGTAAATAGTATTTGCCCTTTGTCATTGGAATGAGTGGAAACGCAATTACATAACATGGGTCAACTTGTTCAAGAGACCCTTGTTTTTCAACAACTCTCCCATATGCCACATGGTAGATATTAGCACTTCGTATTTTTCATAATTAGTTTCCTCCAACATTTAAAGTGAATATTGTGAGTTTCAAGCCAAAAAAAACTTATAAAACCAAAAATTGAAATAAGTTATGTAAGCTCTTGTTCTTTTAATATACGAAAGACACATATTAGAGGTAATATCAATACACATTGCGTGATATAGAATTCTTTGCAGTATATATTTTTTCTCTAGAAATAGTTTTATTAGCACAGAACAGTTTAAGGATTACCATTATCCTATTATTTTGAGAGATGTGAGAGCTGTGTTGAGATAACACTACTATATTTTTCTACTTGCGCGACGGCAGTTTGCGGGACGAAGAAATAATCGTCGCACGAAACAACCATGCGCGACGAAATTTTTCGTCGTACAAAGAAACTCTGCGCGACAAAAGATAATATTGTCGCATATAGTAACGAAAATTGGCACCTAACCGTGGATTTGGCGGCAAAAGTTGAGCGACGAAATTTTTAGTCGCGCTAAATTATAAAGCGCGACAAATAATCTTGATCGTCGCGCAAAGAACAAGCGGGAAAAAAAAAGCGGGTTGATCGCATTTGGCGCCAAATGATTGCGCAACGAAATATTGCGCGACGATATATTGGTCGCGCAAAGTGATTGTATTCTTGCGCGACGACGTGTAGAATCTGAGCGACGGATCAATGCGCAACGAATCAACTAGACCACGTTGCGCAAAAATGGATGTCGGCACAACCATGCGCGCCGGGAAAAAAAAAATTGCGGGACAAGAAAGACGTTTGCGTAGCGAAAAATTTGCGACGCATTTATGTTTTTGTCGCGCAAGGACTTCAGAACTTTGCGCGACGAAACACTTTATCCGTCTCGCAAAACTGTCGTTTATTACTTTAGTCAGCTTCAGCCATGGCAGAGGCAAACTGCAGTTTGCCTTAGTGTCTCTCTCCCTCTGTCTCGAACGTTATAGGGCAATCAAACGCATCAATTTCATTTCATTTATGAGTTAAACTATCTCTGCCTCTGGTACGTTCATTGGGTATGTATTTTTTTTCGTTAGTGTAAAAATATTACTATAAATTCATACTAACGCATTAATTTCATTGTATATATGGATATTATATGTGATTAGCGAGTGGTGGAGAACGATTGAGAAGGTATTATATAAAATTAATTACATTTTGTTTATATTGTGTTGTCAAATTATATTTATATTATGTTGTTCAATTATGCACGTTGATGTACGAAGTTAATTGAAATTAACTTCGTACATTTTTTTTTTGTAAAGCTTAGTTCCCGTTCGAGGTTAGTTGGACTGCGCATGGGTGGGTAAACCACGATTACGGTCCAATTAATTCTTGAATTGTCCCATATTTTGGACAGTTTGGAAATGCATAGTCGTGTCACGTAGTTTACAGCTACAGGATTAGGTTTCGATTGTGGAGATTTCGGTGTCATCTCGATACGTTCTTCGGGTGGTACGTAGATATTTTATATCTACGGTACACCTCAAGAACTGTACCGAGATGCCGAAATTCATCCACGTCGAAATCTAATCTCATGTAGCTGTAAATTACGTGGCATGATTATACATTTTTGAATGGGATAGGGCCCTTACCGGAGGCATAAGGTGACGTTATGATTTTGTAAGAATACAACATGATTGTTGTATTGTGATTGTAGTTCCAGGAATTATGAGCAGAATGTGGATACAGAACCCTAACAGGTGTGCAGACGAATACTTGGATGGAATCGAGGACTTTATTCACTTTGCACGGTCACACAACCCGGGTGAAACTAGAATCTGGTGTCCTTGTAGGAGGTGTAACAACATGTTGTGGGAGACAATTGAAACTGTTCGATTTCATTTAGTAAGGAATGGAATGATTGAGACATACAGCACTTGGAACCATCACGGGGAACAATTAGACATTGGTTTGTCTTCAAGGGCCACAAGAGTGGACAATGTTGAACCTATTGTGGATCCTAATGAACAAGTGATGGATATTATTTTGATTGTGGACAATCTTCCTTGCTTTTCCATTTGCATCGACGAGTAGCAATAAGCAAGGGGAAGATGATGTGCCTACACTAACGGATAGTGCAGAGTTCGAACAGTATGAAAAACTGTTAAGAAATGCCAACCAAGAGTTATATCCAGGGTGCGAGAGCTTTTCCGTTCTGACAGCGATTGTGGAGCTAATGCATGGAAAAATAAAGTATCGTATGTCGAACCTGTGTTTCGATTACTTTTTGGGGGTTTTCAAGAAGAGAATGCTTCCAACGGACAATTGTTTGCCGAAAGACCACAGACAGGCGCAGAAGATGTTGAGTGGTATTGGATTGGGTTATGAAAAAATCCATTCTTGCAAAAACAATTGCATGTTATTCTACAAAGAGTATGAAACATTGGATATATGCCCTATATGCAATGAGTCGAGGTTCAAATAGACGTCTCAGAATAGAATGACTAAGGTTCCACAAAAAGTCATGCGTTATTTGCCCCTGAAATCTAGATTGCAACGATTGTATATGTCGACTCATACTGCCACAGACATGAGATGGCATAAGGAAAAACGGGTAGACGACGATGTGATGCGGCATC